ATTATTAACCAACTACCTATGATAAAGAAAATACAAGGGAAAGCATTCTATTTTTATATACTTTTACATGAATATATATTTTGTTAGGAAATAAATACTATTAAWACATRTTTACAAATCATTGTTTTAGTAAGTTAACACGATGAAGTGTACAAAAAATTGAAAAATTGGAAGTTGACCCTCCCCCTCCCCCCTCTGCGCAATTGCCTGTCATCACTATTGTTTATATTATATATATATATATATTTCAAGTCAACAATTTGGCCCTCCCTAAAATCACCGCCACTGTTCCCTGTTTTTGTTTTTAAAAACCAATTTTATTATAGTTGGATAGGGCATTGCACGGTTTAAGATAAAATTCTTATCCTAAACTGTTATGCATTGTAAAGATTACGGGCTACGGCATGTAACACATTATTCAATTATTGTTAATTATTATGTTTTATAACAGCCATAATATATTATAATCGTGATTTTTATTTTTTTATTCCACAGGTGATAAACTGATAATGTGATAAGGGTTCAATAGGATTTGTGTTGGGTTCACCACATCGGCCTGAGTGCACTCAGGTCGGTGGTCGCGGCTGTAGAATATTACGTTAAGTAGGTCCTACTTAGTAAGTACTAAGTATATATTTAGTTTTAGATGTTCTAGTATCTACTGTCGCGGGGTTAAAATAATAAATGTCAAACAAAACAAAGTTAAGTAACGATTAWGTATTTTAGATTTCCATTTAGTAATTCATATTCATCAGTCCTAAATAGTTCACGTGTTGTGACCGCGCATCCTTTAATCATTTATTGTCTATTGACTTAGTCAATTTAACTATTATTATATTTGCTGATATCTTAAAATATACGTACATAAGTCGGAGAATTGCACCGTGCTATTATTATATAGTAAGATAATATGATTGTTTTGACTTTTGAATGCTACGAATTACAATTCAATTGAATTTAGAGATAAAAATCCAAATACTAAATCACGTATACCGTTTATTGTGAAGACGTGTAGTTATTCGTTATTCTCCAATAGTGATATCGTAATTTACGAACGTCAGCTACAATATTGTACAATACCATATTATTATTGAGTTTGATTTGATTTTGTATTATTCCATTTCACATTTAAATTTCATCAATGGCTATCAAATTCAAATATCAATAAATATTGAACACTACTCGGATATAGTGCTCTTATTGTTTTATGTTCTAGGAGATTAGTACAAAAATATTTAATCAACTTTAATACAAACCAAATAATATTAGATTTTATTTTAGTTACCAACAAGTTTAAGATTAAATAATTTTGTTTTAAGATTCATATCTATAATCAAACAAATTTATCATGACATCAACAAATACATTGGAGGATAACATCAAAATGTTACAACAGTATGTTGAATATTTTCCAGATTTCCCTAAACCAGGAATCTTATATAAGTAAATATATATTTTTAGTCAAAAATTAATTTCTTAAATGTCTATTTTAAATTTATATAATTATGTGAGCTCATAAAAATAAATCAAGGATATGCATTTGTTAAATTTTCTCTTTTAATTGTTGTAAATCTTATAATGTACTCTACTCTATATTTAAAGGAACTGCTTATTTTGTTATTTATTTAAAATTTAATTTCATATTAATGAATATTAAAAACAATAAGATTCATAGTTTAACATTTATTTTACAATTGTAAGTGGAATAAAGAATTCAGTAACTTTTTCTTTTTTACACAATTTATATTGCTTTTATGATWTCATCATAATTTTAAGATGGTACCTAGTAAAAAATATTTAAAATATTTTTTTGTTTTTTTATAAATGTGAATGCAGGAACCATTAATAAATTTCACTTTTAAGAGCTAATTTTTTGAATATCACAAAAATGTATACACTTAGATAGGTACATAATATTGTAAAAACAGAAAAGCACAGTAAAAAAAATGTTGCTATCATAACTAAAAAAACATCAAGCAAGTAAGTATTAAAGTTAGTAATATAGACCATTTGGGTAGTCACAGATTTGAAAAAATTATTATTTTTAAATTTAATAATACAAATAAATTAAAAACATTAACCAAAGTATCTAACAAACTCTTTATCACATTTTGAAAAATTATTTATTTACAGTACCGATTTCCAACTCAACATTAGGTGTGAATCACTATTATAAATTTTCCACCACCACCACCACTACTTAATTCTGGTCCCTTATTTCTTTATAATTTATACATACACAATAAAATCAGCAGTACAGCAAGTGCTATGATTAATATTAAAAAAAAAWAAAAATAAAAATAAAACATGTTTAGGTTATTAATGAGTTCTTAATAAGTACTAAGCACACAAAAAAAAATTATTTGACTTCATGGATCACTTGAGATGGGTCAATTGATCACTAGTGGGGAACCACTGATTTACAGAGAATACATTTTTATTTTGCAGGGATATATTATCATTGTTAAGCCATAGTGATGGAATAAAATTGTTGGAGACAATATTGAAACAAATTGCTAATCAATTGCGTGGTAAAGTAGATTGTATAGCAATGTTGGAGACTCGTGGTTATATTTTTGCTCCAATACTTGCTTTACATCTCAATGTACCATGCATACCTGTTGCTAAAAAGGGAAATTTACCAGGTCCTGTTATTGAAACATCATATATTTTAGAATATGGAGAAGTAATAAATTATTATTACCTATATAGCTACAGCATCAAATTTATTTGTTTGAAATATATTACAATAATTTATTATATTTATGCATAGGATATTTTGACAGTACAATTAAATAGCATTATAAAAGGACAGAAGATATTCATAGTGGATGATTTTCTTGCGACTGGCGGTAAAAACAACTTATTACTGTTTACAATATATAATTCTTTGATCTACAGGGTGTTTCAAAATGATTCATCCGATTACGAATTGATATAGTTCGGCAACGGTTAATCGCAGGTTAATGACCAATGTATTAACGGTAAGATTAGATAACTAAGTTTATTTTAAGTTATCTAGTTGATAAATTTGGCACCGTAATGGTCAGTGAACTAGGAAATGAAGCACCAGCTACCACAGCAATGGATCGGTCGCTGTAGTGCTAATGACGCTACTTTTTGTCCATGGCCGGGGCGTTCGCCGGATCTTACAATCTGTGATTTTTTTCTCTGGGGTTACATAAAAAGCATTGTTTATGTACCTTCCCTTCCAAAAGATCTTGRCGAATTGAAAAGTCGCATTACAGACGCCATCAACTTGGTTACTGTCGACATGCTTCAACAGGTTTATGAGGAATTTGAATATCGCTTAGATGTGTGTCGTACAAGTAAGGGGGGTCAGATTGAAAATTTATAAGCATTGTACCTAAAATTTAAAATAATCCATTAAAATGTAAAATTAATTCTAACATGATTAATAAAATTTTACAATAAATATGATTTTTTGAAATCGGATGAATCATTTTGGTACACCCTGTATAATTATGAGTTATTGTAAAATACATTTAAATGGACATATTCATAGTACCTACTTAGTATATAGACAACATTAAATATATTTCTTTACTAGAATTTGTTGGAAAGACTTTAGATCACAGGYACCTTATTTTTTTTTGTTTCTTAAAATACCAAATATAAATTAAAACTATTAATTGATTATTCACAGAAACATCAGTAAATACCTAGTTTTCAATCATAATTAAATTTGGTATTCGTTTAGTATTTTAYCTACAGAACCGCGTGATCTACGTATTTGATATTAGTTTAGTGTTTTAAGTCATAAACTCATAAATCATGCAATTGGTACTTAATTTTATTACTATAAAAATTAACAATATAAATATAAAATAATATAGGATTATATCAAATAATGTCAAAATCAGTACAAAAAAACAATGTTATTAAATACTAGGTAGAGCAATAGCCAATAAGTCAAAATTATTCGAAAAATTTCATTMAATTATTTTATTATGAAAAAACTATTTTATTTAATAAAAAAATGTTAAGCAATACATTTTATACATCCTTAAAAAAATTATCTTGCCAGTTAATAGATTAGTATCTGTACTTTTTCTATACATAATGTAAGTAATTGTTTTATTTGTCTTGGTAGGTCACATACTAAACAAATACTTTAAATTTATGAACTATACTACTATTAATTCTACACTGGGTTATGTAGTGATGTTGAGTCAATATTGACACCTTATTATAGTATATTCCTAGTATAGCTAAATACTTTTAGAATATATTATAATTCAATGACTGATCAACTGGCCAACAATTCAGTTTATACAAGCGATATTTTAATCTGTAATTTGTGACTCTTTTGTTGATTAGCTGATTATTTAGGTTTGGTAATATAAAATTAAATAACCTGTAAGACAAATATTTTAAGGTTTCATAAAGAAATGCAATTTTGAAGTAAAGAGTCATCCCTTTAAAAATTGTAAAAATAACTGTCCTAAACAGAAAATTATGAAACTAAAATTGAGAACTATTTTACATTTGTGTCATTATAGTAACAAAAGTTTTTACGCATCAATTTTAAATTGTATAGTTATTATCAAAGATAATTATTATAATTGATTATATTTGGCAGCTATTACAATTACATAAATACATTTTTCTATCTTATTTTTTTTATATACTAATTAACCACTATAATATATTATTGTTATGTGTATTCTAATATCAAATAATTCAATAGCAATTGTTTTTAATATTGCATAATCTAAAATTAAAATATTCAGATATTAAATAAATAAATAATAGGTAATGCTTTTTATATTAGATAAACAATTAAAATATGTATCTAATAGCAGTAGCAATATATACAAGTTTATTCAGCAGAGGGAAAGGGTACAATTTAAAAATTGTGATTCACCTCAATTAATTGTGTGTATATAGTATAATATTCAAATTTACTTAGTAATAACACTAATAACTAATAGGTAAATTTAATTTAGTTATACACAGTTTTAAAATATTCAACTAGTTATTTAATTATTTTAGAACCACATATTTGTAACTTTCCAATAGAGCCTCTTTATTTAATTTAAATTAAACTTTAAGGTTTTAAGTAATAATAATTTTTATTGATAAAAAAGAATTCTATACAATTCACTATTAAAAAAAAAATAAAAATTGTAGTGTCAGAGTATAGTTTAATTAATGCATTTTTATTTTTAAACAGGTACCTTAGAAGCTGCTACAAAGTTAATACAAAAAGCAGGTGGAGAAGTTGTGCAAGGATTGGTCTTGATGGAAAAATTAGAATTAGAAGGACGTAAAAGATTAAATTTTCCCATGATATCGTTAATGTCTGAATAACTGTTGAAAACAAACTGCTTATTTTAATTTAACTCTGTGCATTAAATAATTTATAACAATATCTTATTAYTATTAAAAAAAAAATGTATCCATTATGTAAACATAATTTATAAATATTCCATGATATGTTTGTTTAATAATTGTGTACTAAATTTTTTCTAAATGTTGTTTGAATTAGAATTTTTATGGATTTGGATATTAATTAATTTATAAATTAAAAGACTTATTTACTTATTTCTACATATTGGTGTTTGTTGAGTCACAAAGTTGGTAATGATTAATAACTGTAGATTTTTGTGTTATTGAAATGTGTACAATATTAATTATATGAATTCAAATAATCATTAAATTCAAAAGAAAAATGGTGGGGGGAAATAAGTATGGAGAAAGTCGACTGTATTATATTAAAGGGTAGTTAAGACTCATCAAGATACATAAGTCAACAAAAATGGGTTAATATAAAACCATGACAAAATCTTGTTTATGATGACTRATGAGTGATGAGTAAAACATTGGACTATAAAGTATAAACATTTTACAATGATAAGAGTTCCTATACCTTCTTATATGACATATTCAGGACCTTACAAGTGGGAGGGGGGGTTTGGACCTGCAGTATAAGGGCAGGGCCCATGTGAAATKAAATTGTAACATTGTTGAAATTTTTTAGGACTAATACTTATTGTATATTAAATAATATTTTATGATATAAATATACAATAAGGATAAGTATAAGTGTCATTTTTTGTTCAGTTTTTGAGAAAGTCTGRATCAATTTTGATTAAGACGCCGAGGAGGGTTGCATGGAAGAGATTTTGACTGCAGTTGAGCTGTGGTTTAGGTAGCCTTGCATTTTTATGTGGAGCCTTTGGTAGTAAGTGGCTGTTGTCTGGTTGTTGGATTGAATTTTGAGGTCTTCATGTAGAGTGCCRTTTGTGACAAACAATGCGGAACTTTGATGATCATGTGGAGGCAAATGGATTGGAAATGCTTGAATTGTCCTAAGGTTTGAGAGTTTAGCAGTACCCCAGAGGGCAGTAAGAGAAGTTGGTTGGAGAAGACTTGTATAAAAGTAGACGGTAAGACTAGTTCATATTAGATAATGTGTAAGCGAGAGTTGAGTTGCTTCCTTTTTACTTTTGAAATAGGGACCCTAGGYGAGTCTCCTGTCAAGTAGCAGGCCTAGGTATTTAACAGGGACACACAATACGATGTGGAAGTCTAGACATACTATTTATAAAAATATTCTATGAATTTGACATTTTGACTAAACCTTGGACGAGACTTTAAGAGTACGGTTATAATTTATTAAGAACTTTTTATAATTGTGTAGTCATTTAAAAATCTTTCAATGTTCTGTAAAGCATTGTACCTACTTAGCGCGCTAATTAAATCTTATCCTGGATCTTGATTGAAATGATATCACATCAGAAATAGTCTGAAATACTATATACCTACCTACTACCAGGGGCGTATTTATAAATGTCTTAAGGGGGGGCCCACAAACAAAAAGTTCAAATTTGCGTACATGGGGCGTAGAGTTGTAAAATTTCTCATATAATAAAAATAAGTATAAAATACGGCGAATGGGGGGGGGGGGCACGGGCCCCATGTGCCCCTCCCTTAAATACGCCCCTGCCTACTACATATATACATACTTCAATTGTCAAAGTTAGATTCTCTATGGTTTGATCTTGATACAGATTTGTACCGACTTAAAGAATTGTTCGACTCTGACAGGTGTAAGGGTGCAGCAAATCTCATACAAGGTTGATGTAATGTCTAAAGGAGTATGAGCTCATCAGTGGBTTAGTCTTTAATAATATCCTATTTATTCCATAATGGATATTTTTGATGAAATGTAGGTGGTGTTAACTAAGAATTCAATTTAATAAACTACGTATATTTTTCTAACTACCTACTACTACTTCAATGAGTTAAATGCGCCATCTTTATTCTTTATAACGCGGTATAAAATAAATGAAAAAATTATCATTATCGTGGATATGAGTCGTAACTCGTAAGCTCATAAGACTCAAAAGCCAAATCCATAACGACCATAAGGTAAATTTTTTGACTGGTATTATATTGTACCTATACCAACACGTACTTTTATGAACACGAAATTGTCTCACAATAGCGATAAGTTTGCAGTTGACAAATTGGTACCAATCGAATAGGTACTAAGGATTTAATAAATGCAAAATTTTTATTTTATTTGAATTTAAATAGGAATACTATGTAAGGTTTTAACTCATGGATAATTATAATAGGGACTCTGGTTATAACTATATCTAATTAGTAATTATAAAATATTCAATAAACATGAATTAATAAACTGATATAGGTAATTCATGTGTTTTGAAACTTTTTTAACTTTTTAAGTATGTTTATATGAATTTTATGAAATTTGTTTAATGTACTAGTAATGAAAATAATATTTCAATAACATTTCTACTCTAGGCTTAAATTAAAATTATTTTTTATTATTTTCCATAAAAATGAAATATTTCATGAAACTTTCATGAAATATTAAACAAAAAAATTTCGTGAAATTTTAGAACTCTACGTTACCTATTTCTTATATACGGTTATTTGTTTTTGAAATTACAACAAAGTAGGAAAATAAGTAGGAGTACACTTGGATTACTCTGTATATTCCACGATAATAATTAATAATGTTTTTTGATATTGCTAAATAGATAATTTATTTTAATATTAGTATCACGCAAAGTTGATTAAGTTTATGCCCGAAAACCATACATTTAATTATTATTATACCTAATATTAGGGACTAGGGTTATATACATTTTACCTATAATTTATTATTATTAGTATCTTTTGAATTAATACCTGTGCACCTGTAGAATGGTGATAATAGATTCATGCTATAATTAATATGCAATAGCACAATAGCTTTAAACAAATCTAAATGTTAAAAAAAAAATGTAATTTACCTATATAAAATATAACAATATAGTTACTTAAAAGTTTCAAGAATTTCACTGGTAATAATATTTTTGAATTACATTAGTCACGACAAAATAATTAAAATTGTTATTTAGTTTAATTATTTAATTTTGTTCCACAAATGAACTTCAAATATTTTAAAATAGTTCTAGATTCATGAAAAACTGATTTTGAAAAATAAAATCTTATACCTGCATTCTACGTATATAAATAATTTTCTATTTTTTCCCCCAGTTACTAATTTAGATAAGGTCTTGAATTTTGAATTCCCTAAACTTCTAACTGGATTCACTTTTCTACTATAAAAGCTGCCTAGTATTGAAGATGAAAAAATCTTTTTTTATTATTACTAATAGTGTATATATTATACATTACAAACAAATATATAATTATTATAAAAAACTAAAAACTAAAATCAATACATAGTTCAATACAATATGTACATTGATTTGGTACTCCGCTCTGAAAGTCTGAAGTCGGAATCTTTTATCAAATATCCTTATAAAAAGTAGCTACTGTCTGGCATAGACCTTATACTGTGTTAATCTCTTTTCTATGGTCTATGCTGTCTGGTGAACTCTTATCAGTTATCAGTTATCAGTTACCAATGAATTGTATTTATTTGCTTTTAAATGCTTCTGAAAAGCCAAATCAATTAATGTAATTGTATTTAGAGCGATTGATATGTAATTTATCGGAGTCATGACGTCGACTCGTCATTATTTAAATCCATTAAGATAACGACCACTCAGAAGAAGAACTTGATCGCAAAAACAAACATTCACATTTTGTGGTCGGCTTTGAGTGGATAGTGGGTACTGTCAGCACCAGGTAATTTTCATTTGGTTTCAACACGTGCAGTAATCAATACAATTTTCACCTATTCTGTTCTAGGTTTTTTTTAGGATTGTTCGTGTGTTGAGGAATTTCAACTGAAGTTAATCAACATGTCGATTACTAGTATTGAAGATGATGCACTAGCATTAAAGAGTTACATCAAGTCATATCCGGACTTCCCTCTGCCTKGTATTTTGTTTAGGTAAGTTTAGGTATATAATTTTTTTGATCAATGGTTGATGAGATTAATTTTTTTTTTATTGTTGTTGTTTGCTGTGCCTCTAGTTTTATAATTTTAACGCTTTGTTATCAAACAACCTTTTTTTTTTTTTAATTGATCGAATAAAAACTCGGCATCTACATGGCCATTAGTTACAGTGATGTTATGTTTGCAAGGTTTAAGATTTTAACAGCATTTTTTTTTTTTTTTAAGTGGTTACAATAACAGTATGGTTTCCTATTATTTATATAAAAAACAAAAAAAAGGGAGGAAAACAAATTGTGGATCATTAAATTATATTAAATTATAGAGGCCTGTTAACTTCAAAAAAAAAGACTACTAACCTTGAGGCTTGAATTAGAAAAAAAAAACATCATAATAGGTATTGATTTAAAATTAAATCTTTAAATAAGTGCTAATATTATTAATATTCGTAGAGTTACCATTATCTAACTTAATGATGTTATTAAAATACTTACTAACAATGATCATTATTTTGAAAAAGCCTTATAAAAATTAAATTAGGTATAATTGTTAAACATTTTAATGTTATAGAATGTATACAAGTATAAAACTATTATTTCTGAGTTCCATGAAGTTTCTAAGGGGACCTTAGAAATTGTAGGAATTTTTTTAATTATTGGTTAAAAGGTTGAATCTTGTACATATTTCATTACATTTTCTACTGTATTTACTATTTTATATTATCTGATAATAAATCAATTATAGGTAATTTAATAGTGAGTTTATCTTGAATATTTAAATTTGAATAATGCAATTTTCCAATTATATTTACAGAGATATATTTAATGTCTTCCAAAATACTGATGGATTGCAATTGTTGAATAATATTTTGAAAAAATATGCAGTTGAAATCGCTGGTAAAGTTGATTGTGTTGCAATGTTAGAAGCTCGAGGATTTTTGTTGGGCACTTTAATGGCATTGCACTTAAATGTTCCCTGTGTTCCAGTTAGGAAGAAGGGAAAGTTACCTGGCAAAGTAGCTCAACTAGAGTATAGTTTGGAATATGCTAAAGTAATTATAAATTGTATTTTGTTTTATTTTATGTGACATATATAACATATTTGATATGCAGCTAATGAAATAAAATACTTGAAGATATAAAATGCCTTATTAGTATTGAAATTATCATTATTTTATAATATATCGATAAACCATTGTATAGGAGATTTTTTTTACATTAAGTGCGATGTAAACCGTACAGTAAACCTAACGACTGACATTATAATTTTAGTCTATGAAAACTATTATACGATGACTTATCTGTATATTATAAAATTAATGATATTATTAACATTTTTAAAGATTTATCTCATAAATAATGAGGGTTTATCATGTTTATAAGAAAAAATTAAACTAGGTTATTTATTTTTGTTACCAACATAAGCATACATATTTTTTTAGTAATCATCTTAATTTGAATGTTCAAAAACTTATTAATTATAAGCCCTTTTTAAAACATAAATCTATTAAATTAAAATATCAAACAATAAAGTATAAAATGTGTACTAAAAAAAAATATTAGTTTAATTTTAACCTTTCAAAATGTTCTAATCTACATTGCAGTAGAAATATTAATTAAGCAAAAATCGCTTCACAAATATTTTACTAAATATTACAAAATTTAYCAAAAACTAATTAGTATGTAGTTAAATTGCCATTTAAATATCTATTGAAAAATGAAGTCAATTAACTTTCGAATAACCTTGTAATAAAAATATGGTTTTTAATATTATAAAAATCTATTCTTATTAAATTAAATATAATTCTCCACAACAATTATAGTATTGAAAAAGCTTACTGTTATTTATTTTATTACTTGTTAATTTTATTTGATTAACAAGTGAATTTGTTTGCATATATTTTAAAACTTTAAAATAAGGTTTGTTTTTAGGATGTGTTGGAAGTTCAATTAGATGTTTTAAAAGAAGGAAAGAGGGTTCTGGTTATTGATGATTTGTTAGCAACTGGAGGTAAGTGATTAAATTAGATACTTTATTATTAACTATTTGTTACTTTGTCTATGATAGATTGTCTAAAAAAACATGAATTATTTTAAATTGAAGAAATACATAAAAGTGGCCTATCTAACTTGTTAATATAAAATAATTATTTTTAAGGTACTCTTGCAGCTGCTGTTCAACTTTTGAAGAAAACTGGGGCAGAAGTAGTTCAAGCAGTAGTTATTATGGAACTCTGTGATTTAGAAGCTCGGAAAAAAATTGACATTCCAATTAAATCATTTATTCAATACTAAAATATGTTTTATATAATATATTCATTTTAAGTAAATCATTATTTTTTAAATACAATAAATATTTTGAAAATACTTACTATTTTAAATTGGGAGGAGGTGCTTTGAATATATATTTTGTTGGGGTAGGTGGCTAAGCAACCATATGTGAACTACACTATTACTACACATATTTATGCTTTTACATGATATATATTTATTTTCAAATAATTTTATTATTTATGGAAAATAATTATATACCTTTTTACTCCATGGCAAAAAGTATTAAGCTCCTACAAATAATTT